GTAAGTAACCATATTGCGCGCGCTGATGAGGACTGGAAAAGCAATACCTCTTACACTCTTGAGCGCATCAAAAGCTAAAGCTTTTACACGTACTGCTTACGCTGTAATTTTTGCATTTTAATAGTACTTTTTTTATATTCAGGCGTGGTGTAAGCTGTGTCTTGTGATTGCTTGCAATAAAGCAAGTGGAAGCATTCGAACTCTGGGTGGCTAAAAAAATCCACGTGCTGCCACCTGACAATCTTCTTGGTGAAGGGATTTCCTGGGCTTGCCGGAAGACGCGCTTTCACAATGAGATTTTGCCACGTGCTTTAATGCCGCCACATTTTTTCTTGATATTGACGCTCTCAGGCGGCTGTTCTTGGGCACCGCCATAACCGACCTTCAGCTTTTGTTTCCTCTTATTCTGTTGGCTTCACTTGATCATTACCACAGCAGGACAGATTATCGCCACTTTAGGTTGTACGGCGTAATTCTCCCTAGCATAGCCCTCTGTGGAGGCTCATAAACACCCGCTTCGCTGGCTGGTCATTTCGGTAAAACAAGTGAATATCAATTATGGCGGCTCAATCTGGCGCGTGTTTAAAGCATCAATACACTAACCCTCACCAACGCGAGCTTCCACCTATGAACATTCAGTATTGATGTTCGCACTCGCTAGTAATGTAGGTTTTTATCTAATTCGAGCTGAATCGCCGTGCCAATTAAAACCAAATCAATATGGACAAAAGAGAGTGTGATCACGCGAAAAGTGGCCGGCACTGCGGATTTGCAGAAGGCAAGCTCTTTTTCACCATAAGTGCGAGCGAAGCGGGAACTATACGCGCCAGCATAGTGCCCTGAAATACTCTTTTACTGAACAAACACGTGTGTTTGGAAGATGTCCAAATCGTTTTGTTAAAACACGTTTAGTATGGACAAGTTTTTGTGAACACACAATTCGTTGACATATTTCATGAACATAAGTTTCGTCGATGCTGGGATGTTTGATGGAAACACTCCGCGTCAACACATAAAACGGCGACGTTTCCAGAATCGTAGTTCTAAGGCGAGAGCCTTACTTGTCCCATTTCGCGAAAAAGCGGCGTCGTTGTGCCCGAAAGCTGGCCATAAAAATACGTCATCAAGCACGTGCCGCTCACGCTCACGCTCAAGTGCGGGACTGATGTGCACCACCGGAGCGCTGTGTGCAAAAGGTGCGCTTTGGATTTCATGTGTGCTCGTTGTGTGCTTCGTGCGATGGATTGTGAGGCGACTGCGTCTACATCTACGGCCTCGACATCGGCTGCAGCGTCTACATCTACGGCGGCGTCCGCAGGCAAACGAGGCGTAGATGACGTCCTCTAGGACGTCGTCCTTGACGTCACCTTAGACGCCGTTCTTGGCATCGTCCTCGACGTCGTCCTATATATTGTCCTTGAGGTTGTCCTGAAGGTCGTCCTTAGCGTCGTCCTAGACGCCATCCTTAACGTCTTCCTGGCGGTCGTCCTAGACGCCGTACTTGGCGTCGATCACTAGGACGTCGTCCTCGACGCCGCTTTAAAGCTCGTTCAAGTGGTCGTCCACGACGCCCTTCTAGACGCCGTCCTCTACATTGTACTCGATGCTTCGTCACGGAAGCCGTGAAACCTTTAACACGTGTAGAAACATTACTCGAAAACATTTCACCCGCGGGACTGTAATGATTTCGCCTTCCTACACGTATGGAGTCTTAAATGTCTTCCTGTAATTTTTTTTGTCAACTTGAAGTTATAGCAGCAAAGTGGATAGTTAGGATGAGATATGACACTAGGTTATACTTTACCTAGAAAGTTTTGTGCAGGTCGTTCAAAGAATGGTAGAGAATAAAATCCGAAATGAATCGTGGTTTGAAGCAGAACTTAAACCATGATTTGAAGTACTCCAGTTTTACTGTGATGATTTAAATCAAACTTTTTCTAAAAATGAGGCCCCAAATATAAGTATCTTTATTTTTATTTTATTTATAACTTAATCCTTTTCATTCGTATTTATGTTGTGTTTAATTAAACTATTAACCAAACTAGAAAAAACATAAAAGGCTGAAAACGAGCAAAATACGGTATTCTTTGGAGCAAATTGAGAATGATCTTTGTGTTTAATGATATTTTATTCGCTGAGTTCTGTGGCGTCGTATGCAAGCAAGCATATTCAAATGCGAATCAAGGTAACAAGAAGTATGGGTCCGCACAAAAGCACACAGACCTAGAGAAAGAGAAAGAGAGACAGATAGAAGGAGTGAAATAAAGAGGGAGAGATAGACAGTCTCGGAGAGACAGACTGAGTTATAAATCTAAGGTAGATCTTGCATTGGCCAGAATCATCGTTGTGTCCTACACGCGATCGCTGCTTCGCTTCTGAGACCATACCACCACCATACATACGCTCCCTAAAACCAAATAAAAAAGCCATTGATGTTGGGCAACTAGCCGACTGTGCGCGAGTTCAAACGCAGAAATCATTATTTTAATTAAAGCGATTGAAATCATATAACACTAATTTATATCAGAAAACTCCCACTTGCATCAAATAAATTTTGCATGTATTCGCTACTATTTATGATGTTACCCACCTTCCTATGAACTACGGCGGTGAGTGCACGACTTTAAAAAGTGCTTCACTACAGCGAGAAATTATATGCACTGAGGCGGACCACCGTAACGTTCCCGTACCCTTGTTAACATAGCACACAATTTGTGGCACGAAGTATATAACATCATTCATAGTGAATCCCCAGGTTGTAACAAATTTATGCATGGGAATGTTAATTTGTATCTGAAATGGAGCACACTTCTCGCCTCATATGCGACTTGTCGCCTCTGAAAATATCTTGCAGGTTCAGGAACCGACCCCAGACCTCGCCAAACCTCACGAAGCGCTCTACCAACTGAACTCACCAGAAGCTACCCGTCTGTAGAGCAAACGGCATTTAACAGCTTTTACCACTCTTAATCGTGAGTGAAACAAGAATGAGGTGAGACGATTAATTATTAGGTATAATCACTCAACGTGTGTGGATCCGTAGAACTAACTGGGGATCTGTGGGCTCGTAGTTTTTTTTATGCGGATTTGAAACTAAATAAAGTCATATAATTGCGATTTAGAGTACAAATATGATTATCTGTTCTGTGAAGAAAAAGGAAAACGATTTGCAATAGAAACATGGATATGAAAACAAAATCATAAACGTGCCAGAACAGTCGGGGCTTTCTTCCCATATCAAGGTGAACAATTACAGTTGCTACGAGTATTACGGTAGTTTACGATCAGAAACAGAAAAAGATAATTGCTATAACTATAATTTCTGTGGGTTGATTCATTCGCATTAATGTGCTGCTTTTTTATATAGAATATTTTCTCACGATTTCAGCAACTACGCTGTTTCATCGTAAAAAAGAAATCAGACATAAATATAAAAAAAAAAATAGAACATACACGCTAAAGACGCGATGTCACGCCGTATTCACAACATTTTGTTTAGTCGATGGTCGCATAAACACACACACACAAAAAAAAACTCCTTGACCATGCATTCTGGGCCCTGCTTGATTCCTTTCATCGCCCTGTAGTGTTAAATGCGTCCTGATCTAAAGTAAAGCAACGTCAAAATTCCGCTTTTTGGGTCAAACCAACGAAGGGTACACGACACGCCACCGCCGCACAGTGAAACGCGCAGAAAAGCAGCCGTGATCCACACGCAGCTTGGCGCTTGTTCTTTACATATCTCTAGCTCGCTCATTGCGGGCATCCATGCATCTGACACCCACACATCTAGTTCCATTTTTGTCTCTCATGCGACGTTCCAAGTGGTGCATGACGACAAAGGCAAATCGAGCAATTCTTGAACACGTGTCGCCATTTGTATTTGATATTAAAAAAACTGGAACGTGCCCTAACTGAAAGGGAAAAGTTTGTGATTGAATTCTGAACTTCACGTGTAATCTATCCATATGCTACTTCTGGAAAATGTGATATCAAAAGACGATTCGTACTTTATTTTCTCGTTATTTTTCTCAGTTGACACGAATGTGTCAACTATGGAAATAACACTATTTTAAACTTTCTTTTTTATGTAAATATGTTAGTTTTTGTACAGTTCGTTGCTTCCTTTTTTAATTCAATACGTCCAACAGACCTCTAACGTAAATTATCGTGGACATTGGGACATTATAAGTCAACTAAAAAATTTTCAATATAAACAAACTCTGACCTTTAAAAAATGAAAAATTAAAAAAAAGAACTAACAAAAAATTTTATATCTAGACATTAAAGTATAGTTTTAACATAAACTTTTATGAGTGTAAAATACATGGAAAGAACGCTCTAAACCGTCAAAGATGAAGCAAAACGGCATGCATGGTAGGGTTGCACCTTAAGTAGGAAAGTCATTCTGTCAACCTCCTCCTAGATGCGAGTTTTCTTAGAAACACTATAAAGTATCTTGTAAACGTATGGTCCGTATCCTTCTCATCCTCATATAAATAATAATAGAAAAAAAAAAGACATGAGACCCTCATGGCCGTTTTTATATCGACCCACCCAGAACAAAAAGGTCTATGAACTCTGAAAGAAAGGCGGCGGCGACCATCGCTTCCAAGATATTAAATGTAGTTAATGTTGTTCCAGCGTTTGAAATTGCATAAATTCTACCCAAAGGGCTGCGGTATCCGGTTGAAATTTACTACCCACAGGATGTTTTTGAAGCTTTTGACTCCACTATTTGAACACATGTCCATCCACGAGCACATAAACGTGTCGCGTTTTCAAATGAAACAATATTTATGAGCCCAAGAGTGGTCATTGCCATTCGGATAACTGCAGCGCACAAAAAATATCGGGCCGAACTACCGCCGTTCCCGGTCCTTTGACCCAACGATGAATCGAAGAAAAGAAAAAAATTGACCTGGAGTTCATTTATAAATCGTACAAGCTAATATGTGCACCGCTCAAAGGACAAGGAACTTCTCTAAAAAAAGTACATAATGGCAGCCATACTGATAAGCTTGCTGGCCATCACAGCTTTCCTAACTCCACGATGCTCAAGCAACAGCCCGTCTTATCCCGAGTTGAATCCAGCACTGGGGAAGTACCAGGACGTTTCAACGGTACGTGGGTTTAGAAGCATACAGCTGGTGCATTTGCACGCAGTCTTAGACGTTGCGGCGCGAATAGTGCTCTTGTACCTGACATCACTTGCGGACGGCCTACCAAGCAGCGTGTTTGAGGACTAATGAAATCCAACGTCAATGAGCAATAACGGTGACGCGTTCAGCATGCTTTTTTTCTGTTCGCATGAACGTAAGCGATTCCTCGTTCTCGTCGTTAGCATCGTCTTTGATGTTAGGAAAACGCAGAAGAAAGGAGACGGCTCAGTCGACGAGGGAAGTGAAGACGCACAATGGGCCTTTTTCCAGTCAGCTTCTGCGCATGCGTACACTCTCTCCCTGGGCCTATCCTCTTTATGTCGCCATTTTTGCAGGGCGCCGTCCCGCACGAGCTGCATTGTCAGCGTCTATCTTCACTCGTATTTAGTTAGTTTATTTCGACGCTTCGTTTTTAGTATCGATAGTAGGGGATGTGAAAAGCACTGAAAAAGGATCGAGGTACACCTAAGCATTCCTCTTGCGACCGAGTGAGACCGAGAGAGACCAGACCGGTTTTTAAAGCCTCTTGCGATCTCTTAGGACCAGCTCCGCTGCATCGCATCCGGTCCTAAGAGTCGCAAGAGGCTTAAAAACCGGTCTGGTCTCTCTCGGTCTTACTCGGTCGCAAGAGTGTGAACGGCGCTTGAGTTGTGAATGCGAAAGCATGCAAGCCGCTTGTCTGCCCCCTTTTTCGTCTGCTGCGTACTTTTCGTCGCCGGCCAGCGCGTGTGCTCCCCTAGGCACGGCGACCTTGGACGCTCCGTGCCCAGGGCAGCAACGGCGCGCTGACCGGCGACAAAAAAAAAGAACAAAAAACTTCTTTTCTCCAGATTTTTATTTTTTAGCTTTTTTTCTTTTTGTTTATATTTCCCCCTTTACTTTATCTAGGAAAGCAAACATTTATAAAAAAAAAAGTGGAGTTGACCGCGAGAATGCACCAGCAGGCGCAGTCGTGTACTTGTGGACAATTGTAAAGAGAGTGCAATGCTAGCTTTTTGGTGTGGTGATCTCTAACAACTTGGGAAGATGAAGGGGATCAAGGGAAGAGGACGAGTGGACAGGGCTGGATTAAGGTACGGGCTAAGGGAGGTGCAGCCCTGGGCCCCAGGCTGTCAGGGGGCCCCATGCTGGCTCCTGAAAATTTAAAAATGTTACTCTTTTTTTTTTTTTTAAGGAAAGTTTAGGCAGAAAGCAGAAGAAACACTCCGAAGGGCATCTGGCGCAATGGCCTTCTCGTTCTCTTTTCCTCAACAAGAAAGCAAGGATGCCATAAAGTTCCCGTCTCTAGATTAGCTGGTGCTTGTGAGCTCGTTGAGCAAGAAGGTGCCAGAACAACAAAATTTAACACGGCCTCCCACCCCTTGTTAGAGTCTTTTTTTTTTTTTTTTAAATTGGAGCTTGACGGAAGAACCGTTATGGAGCTTTCTTTTGTACTGGGGCCCCCTTAGCGTGTTTTACAGACAATTATGGGCAGGAAGTTAAGCAAGCGTTAAGCAAGCAATGCAGATGGTTCACACATGTAGTTTTAAACCTTTTCGCGAAACTCCATATGGAGTTCATTCCAGAAAGATAAGTTTGAAACAAGCGAAAAGGTGCCCGTAAATCTTCCGGACACCGTCTCTATAGCCACCAACAAAAAGGCGTTCCAAGGAGGCGGCTCTTAAGACGGCCCCCAACAGTTTTCGATGGGTACAGACTGGAAGGAAGTAATCTAGAGTCGATATCTGGTCTGCCAGTGGAACTAAACACTCTTCCTTCCAGCGACTGATTCGAATACTGCAATGGTTTTACCAACCTCTGAGGTGTAACCTCTTATTGTTTAACGTTGAGTCACAGATCAAAATGGGCGCCGGGGTCTAAATTCTGCATTTAAAAAGAACAAATTTAGTATTAAATCTGACGCGAAACATTTTCCCCATTCAAAAAGACAGCGTGAAGATATAAAAAGAAAACTTCTCGATTATCATGATAAATTCTTTAAATGCAAATGTGCCCGAACGACAGCGGTCGATGTCATAAAATCACGCGCAGATTCTCTTATGCTTTAAATGTGTAAGTCTGTGTTTGTTTGCGAAACGACGGTTGAGTTATTAGAAGAGCGTTTACGAAATAGTTTCATCCCGATAAACATTACTTCAACCAACAAAATTTCTTTCTTGCCTATGTCACTTCCTTCACTGTTCACGCCAGTAATTAATTAACAGAGGGCTAGTTAGAAGTTAAAACGCTTCCAGTAATTTGGAACGATTACAAGAATAAGGGCTCTAGATTTTTGTGGTAGTTGTCGATTTGCGAGGCATGCCATTTAGGGGAAGCGAAATTAGAATGGGAATTTCGCAAGTACCTTTTCGGTTGCTGCATAACTCAATTCATGAGTGATTAATGATGTCATCGACATGTTAGCAAGAGTGTCATCTGTGCTACAAGTCGACATCGTGACCAATTTGTATAAACTGGCCCGGCCATGTACTCTATGAATCTAGCTGTAATACTAGTCAAATGAATTCATGAACAGAGACAACATTTGTGAAGGAAGCAATTTATAGCGGTTTTTTTTTCTTGCTGTTTTTGTTTTTTTTGGGGGTTAAGTTGCTGGATGTGAACGACAAATCCTAATATTTTCCGCCATGTTCATTTGATTTTGTTTTGTACCTCGAAATTACTATATTGTAAATTGCTAGAGAGGTTGATTATTAAAGAGGCATAACTTCTAAACAATCGCATCCGCCTCAATGCCACAAGGAAAACTTGAATTCCACTGAATCTACGGATCTAAACAAGGCCCGACAATAATCATACGATGAAACATATCCAGATTTAACGAGTTAAAAATATACATATCGCCGTCGTCATCGTTACCTCCACCACGACCATTATCATAGGTAGAGGCCTCATAATAGCCTCAGCCCAGGACCCCCAAATGTCTTAATCCGGCACTGCCAGTGGACACATCGTAGGCTGTTGCTGGCAATGTCGCGCTCTCGTGAACCTTCGTAGCGGTCCTGGTGTCCGTTGGTAAGCGCCCCGTAGACGTCGTCGTAGCCGCTGCCGGGTCTGCTGATCTGGCTTTCTCAGGTCCCGCCGTGGTCGTAGTTCTTGCGTCTGACGGCGTAGCTATAGGCCGGTAGAGGGTCCTCGGCGGTGCCGCACTGAGTTGCCGTCGTCCCCGAAACCACGTGGCTTATCGAGGAGGTTAAGAGAACCTCCGCTAATGGTTGTGGCGGTAGCGGGACCTGTCGAAGATTCGAAAGAACGAAAGCCGAATCAACAGTTGTCTTCTGGAGAGGCTTCTACAAGAAAGCGTCGGTACGTTGGGCGCGGCAATAGGCTGGCTAATTTTGCGAAGAGACTATCGGTGCAGATCGCACAGAACTACGCGCACAATCTGCATGGTGCGGCCAACGGCGGGGCCGTCGGCATCGCCGTTGGCCCCGCCGACGCCGACGGCGACGCTGCTCAAGCCGGAATCGGGCATCTAAGAGCTACGCTCTAAAATTACACGGCTACACTTAAGACTGCTTACATGTAGGTAGGCGAAAGGCAGTCAAGGACGACGTCTAGGACGACTTCTAGCACTAACTCTTAGACGACCTTAAGGACAACGTCTGTGACAACGTCGAGAACGAGAACCAAAGGAACACCTTTAGGACGGCATCGAGAACAACGTATAAAGGACGACGTTAGGACAACCTCTAGGACGACGTTAAGAACGACGTCTCGGACGATTTCTAGGACAACCTCTAGGACGACCTCAAGAGCGACGTCGCGAATGGCGCCTAGAGGACGATGTCTAGAACGACGTCGAGAACATCGCCTAGAGAAGGACGCTTAAAGAGGCGTGTTGTAACCTAGTTTCGGATTCGGTTTGTATTAATTAATCTGAGTAGTTCCCATGCTGACTACCAGGTGTGACTGCCAACATATAGTTTTATGCCACGCGCATCGCGTGACACGTATGCTTGCGCTCTGAACCATAAAGATGTCTGAGATGTCTCCTTGAGTACCCGGCGTCCCATTTCATCGAACAATGCAACATTTGGCGACGCGGATGGGAATATAGGAAAATGACGACGAAGACGTCGACTGCTTCAACTATACTGTGGGGAAGCTTCCGGAGTTCTGCCCAGACTCGGGTGACATTGATATGTACCCTGAGCCGTTCGAGCTGTATGCAGCGGCGAACGATGTTGCAAAAGGCAAGAAGTTGCTCATTTTTCTTACCGTGCTAGGCGAGAAAGCCTACGTGACGCTGCGCAGCTTACTTCTACTGAAAACGCCGACAGAAGCCGGATATGACGAGGCGGTTGCGGCGCTACGAAAGCACTACGCTCCAAAACGATCGGTCTTCACGGAACATTACCGGTTTCATCGACGTGACCAGGGTCCCGAAGAAAGCATCTCCGACTTTGTCGTCGCTCTGAAGACATTAGCAGCCACTTGCGCCTTCGGCTCTTGCCTAGAGGAAACGTTACGAGACCGCTTGATTGCCGGGCTCCGAAGAGAAGACATTCGCTGCCGTCTGCCTCCCATGGACGACAAGGACGTCACGTGGGAGCGCGTTTTCACCGTGGCAACATCCTTGGAAACCAAGGAGATCCTAGCAGCGTCCACGCACAGCGCCGACGACGTGAACTGGCAACGCCGGTTCAACAAGCCAAGCAAGCAAGGCTGTACCAAGCAGCAGAACAGCGGACGCAGAGCCAATCACAAGGTAGCTTCTAAAAATGATCGACAAAGACTGTCGGTACCAATTGTTATCGATGCCGAGATTTGCATCTTCACGGAACGTGTCCATTCTTAAACAGTGCAAGTTTTAAATGTTCTAAGAAAGGCCACATAGCTAAGATGTGCAAAAAGAAAGCAGTTCATAACGTTTCATGTGAAAAGTCAGAACCTGAAGGATCAGAAAAGCCGGAGACAGACCTGTTATCTGCCATACCCCTCAACCGAGTAACAAACAG